ACAATCTGGCTATTGAGGTCATCCGCCTAGAGGACTTATGTGCACGCAGGACAACGTGCGCGCCTACGCACGTGACGCATCTGCAGGCGACTTGTGGCACACAATGGAAGACTGAACGTACTTTTGCAGTTGCACGCTAGCACCATTTCCTCCGTGTCGCGCAGTGCATGACGTCTCGTGATCGCAAGCCTCGACCTATCTATTGGACGGCCGCTGACTCCACGAGAAGCCTCAATTATTAGGTTGGCCTCAATTAGCAGGCTGCCCTCAATCCGTCTGATAATTGGCTCCCAAGGCCAAATCACAAGGGCCTCAATGCGGTAACTGTCGCCAGGCCGGCACTTTGGACCAAGTCGCCCTGGCGTCAAAATAACACTTGGTGTGACGATAAAAGTATTCTGAGCATAAACACTGTTTTGGCTCCTACGCAACTGAGCATTTCTAGTCTCTTTACTGGTCAACAGTCTGTGACTATCTTCCATCATTGTATAAACTTTTGCTCTTTCTGCAGGCCGCACCCCTAACACGGCAGTCCGAAAAATAGGCTGACTTCAATTCCCATTGCGGCACTCCCGTTTGAGGCGTAAAGTCACTCAAAAGTTAAGGGTGTGGACCTTAAGGGATGAGTACACTTGGGTCGTCCACTCATCGCCTTCTTAAAGATTTAATACGGGTGCCAACCATAGTCTTTCGTCTGTACTGTTCTTCCCTCTTCGGAGTGAAAAATACCAGCCGGTCAGGAGTAAGACTGCACCCATCTTATGCAATACATGCTCCGCTGTGTCTCGACTCCAGCAAGACGGCTAAAGGCCCTTAATTATAGTGTAGGAAGAATTTCAGTTTGCTGAAGACCACCATCTACAAGTTTCTTACGCTCGTACGGCTAGGTCTTAGATTTTTAAGCATTTTAATGAAACGTTTTCAACTTGAAAACTTTTCAACTCAGGACAGTATAGGCAAGACCTGGATACAGCGCATCGCCTAACCTTTCGGATTACAAGTCACCGACCGAAAGCTATAGGTTTAAACAAGGATACTTTATGCTTTCATTTTTTACAAAATTGTAAGTTTTTTTCAGAAATTTATTTTCATGAGTTTTCTATTGGATAAAGCAAAGGTAGATCCAGAAAACTTCTCATGATTCACTACACTGTTCTTTCCTGCAGGCACGCCTCGGCTTCGGTCTGCTCACGGACGCCGGAAGAACTTTAGATATGAGGTGGGAGTGGCCTTGCCAGTATTTGATTGGTTAGAGGACACCCCCAGAGGTATGGAAGACGTCTGTTGCTCGCTGTTCTGAGTGGAGGATATCACTGCTGGGCCAGGAGGTTGAGTGACCATCCCGCTTGGACGGCTTTCATCGACCGGCGTGTTCACTGCCTGATACAGCCGTCCAACAAGCATGTTGAGGAAATCTTTCTGTGTCAGCTGACGACACTTCAACCACCATTGCATGCGGTTTGAGCCCAGTTCCCGTCTAATGTAACGAAGAAGACGCTTGACGGCAAGTTCCATCACTCGACGGCCACTCTCTTTTCCTCCGGGAGCCATTACTACCTTGCAGAGGCTTTGGGTATCTATGGCCTGACTAGTCGTCTTGCCTGCTGACGTCTGTGTGCTCGCGCCTTCAGTTACATTGTCGGTTGCTGCAGTAGCATTTTGAAGCATTGTCCCGGTTTCAGACTGTACACTGGTCGGCTTCAAGTGTAGGAAGATGGTGCCTATCGCAGCACATCCAACCAACAAAATCAATCCTAGGACAACGAACTTTTTCATTTTTAGTACTGTTGAGCAGTTTCTGACACTCGTGTGGTTGCGTTCGCTAGTTTAAATAGGCCTACGGTGGACGCGCACTTTACTGGCGTCGTTCAGGTGATGTCACCGCATAAGTGCAGTAAGTACACCTTAGTCATGGGACTTTGTTGTATGCGCCATTTTTCGAAAAACAAAGCTAAGGTCATTCCAGTCTCCCTTATCTTTGCCGGTAACTGTCATCTGCCTACCCTGCTAGCCGGTGTGTGCTGCTGCTGCCGGGGCTCGAGAGTGAGTCCCAAGGCAGAGCGGTGCGAGTGAGTTCCGTTAGCCATCAGTGAGCGTTCATCAACAAAAGTAAATACTGTCAGTAAGTCTGCACAAAATTGGTGGGCGACGGAGCTTAAAAGTCCTGATTTTAACGTTTTAGTTCTAACTAACTGGCCATATCCTTTATACGTCTCACTTAATGGGCTAGAGTGGATGTAGCCGTCACTGCTGCCCGACGCCTTCCTAACTCTTGACGTCACAGACAAGGTCAATCAGAACAGGACCTTGCGCGAATGCACTTTTTGGCGTGCCTCCGGCCAGACACAAACTGGTGCGCGGGACACGGACCGCCCACACCGGTGTCTACCCTCGCGCCGTCTAACTAATCACCAAAGAGACAA